TTATCCCTTAATGAAAAAGGAAAAGTCTAAGCCTAACAACATCATTAAACATTCCATCATATTTAAAAGTAGCACAAATTTCAAGAAAACTAGCAAGATGTAAGTTAGGATCTTCAGCAAGTGTTCCTCCAAACTGATTATTTTTTACAATTTGGATAATAGCAGATTTAAGCTCAAATGAATTAGCCGCAACATTAGGATTTTGAATAGTCAAGTGAAGTTCATCTGCTGTCGGCCTAACATAATCTTTTAAAGGTCTTCGTCAATTTTCATTAATTTGATTATTTAAGTAATTTGTTATTTCGTTTAAGTTTTTTATTTCTTTTTGTTGTTTTTGGATTTTGCTAATAGTATGTTCTAATTCTGAATCGTAAGATACTAAACCTTCAAATCCAATATTTCGCATAAACAAATATAATAAATAAAAAAAATTCTTAAAAATAATTTTTAAATAAAAATAATTTTTTTTGGATTATTGATTTTTTTTAAAATTTTTTCTAAATTTATTTTTTGTTATATTATCTCTAAATTCCCTAATTTACCAATTCTATTTAATTTACTGTTACCTTCCCCGACAACGACACCAAAAACTCGATCTGCAATGAAATATAGTTGTGCAAAATATATAAAGTTGACTCTGCTATGCAACGGTATCAAAAACTTGATGTAATCTTTTATAAATAAAAAATTTAAGCAATTAATGTTGGGATTCTATACAAGTATATGTATCGTGATCAAGTAATAAAGAACTTTCTATTTAAGCCCAAATATTGATCCCACGTGGAAGGTTGAATTTTGAAATGATAAATTACTAGGAAATTCACAGAAAGTAAAACAAAATTACTATCACTAAGTTCGAATGTTAAGATATTATCAGAACAAAATTATTTAACTACTAGCAAAACTGAAATGCAAAGTTTAAACAGTAACTACTAAACTAACTACTAAACTATTAACTATTAAACTATGTTTATGTAATGATGATTTCTTATGTGAAAAAGCTTATTTCTCACTACAATGAGATTTTGGTAAAATGAGATGAGATAAATGATTTTAATATGTGTTGTACCAAATAGAAGCAGTTTTAATTCTCTACCGTGATACAATGTTATAGAAAACTATTGGCTAATCCCAGGTTTAATCCCTAAATCCGTGGCTATGCTAGGAAGATACTGGCTCCTACTCCAGAGCTCCCATTTCCATTCACCTGAAGGGTAACTCTTGTTTTAGTTCTTAAACACTAAGACCGAATTGAGGATTTTAGTCTGTCACTCTAAAATCTCCAATTCTACACCCAACAATATATATTTTCCTATTTATTTGCACTTACTTCCATGAACAAAATTCTACTTCATGGAATCAAATGTGATCTTCACTCTGTTGTAGAACTCATACTCCATTTCCTGGATCATATGTTTCACAAAAAAATTTAACAATTCAATTGGCCAGATCAAAAAGTAAATTAAGCTCGGAGTTGAAAAATAATCATAATTTATTTTATATTTTAACATTGACACATTCATATTATTTTTTCATTTTAGCATATCTCAAAGTAGGGAGAAAGATAAAGGAAACTACTCAGGCTTCATGAGAAAGATACAACAAAATATAAATTTAATATATAAAAGAAAGTTCATACAACAGTATAATACAACAAAACACAAATTTCATATATAAAAGAAAGTTCATGCAACACTATATCCCTTGTAGCCTTTCCTAGGAAATGCAGGAAGAATAAATCTCTCACTTTTATTCCATCTCCAACACTCTTAGAGAAAGATTCACATTTAATCTTAACACAAAATCTCTAAATTCTTAAAGTAAAATCACTAATAGACTCCAAAATGGTGGTGGAATGAAGTTGGAAAAGTGTGTGGTATGTAAGAGAATGAATGGTGGTGGGGAATGGCGAAAGAAGCGAATTTTCTGATCAATTTCGACCCCAAATAGAGCGTAGAGTCAGTTCTCCAATAGGTGCATCCAAAAACTCTTCAAAAAGCATCTAAATTAATCGAATCTTCTAGAAACAGGGTCTGAACAAACACTGGCGTCGTGGTCCGTTATTTAATTCAATGTTCTCTGTCAAAAGGCGTCGCCGACGCTGAACAAATTTTCAACTTCTCCATTTTGACTCCAAATTTCATTATTTTTCCTTCTTTTTTGCTCTAAGTCCTAAAATTCAACAACCTGCAAGAAAACATTAAAAATATCTTTCATTAAAGTGCAATATCACAAAAAATGAGTATAAAATATGAGTCTAAAAATACATATATTTCTGCGTATCAATATCCTTCCTGCAGAACAACCAAATTTTATTATTGATGTTAGGAAGAAAAACATATTTTGAGAAGCTTTTGAGTGGTTTTCTAGAAATATTATGAGCCAGGGGTTCTAAGATAACTAAAGTGTCGCATGCCATGACATGTTGGTTGGTGGGGTTCACTGTAAGTCCTCTCAAATCACGAGTTCGATCAATAATGGTGTTGGGTTCTCAAATATTTAGGCACATGACGCAGACTCTCATCATAGGGCTTAGCACATGAGAAATCGGCATTTGGGCCTATGCCAAATGGCGATTTCCTTTTGCAAAAAAAAAAAGCATATGTATATATATATATTATATATATATATATATATAATTTTAAACCATCCAAATGCACATATTATGAGTGATAGAATTGTATTTAGGAAAATTCGCATGCATATCCCAAAATTCTTATGTGATGTTAAAAATTTAAATATTGTGCATGTAAATATGAAAATTTAGATATAAGATATGCAAATGCATAAGAATTATGTGATATGTATAATGTATGTAAATGGCTCTTATATTTAATGAAAAGTATGGAGCATATAAATCATATCTCATGTTCATTGTCATCCAAGGCGACATTTAAAATTGTATTGATTTATTTATGACTTAAATGCATACAAAGCATACCAAAATAATAAGATACAATTACCTTAGAATTTTTTAGAGATCACTCATAACCAATGAAAATCTCAAAAAAATTAGGGTTAACTTTGGCTGATTTGTATAAATTATTTCAGTTTAAACAGTTCGGTTAAGAACAAACAAAAAATTAGTTGTTGGTTGGAATCCAATTATGAGCAAACATCATACATTGCATACCTTATATGTATAATATCAATTTACTTTTATGAATCCTCACTTTAATTTTGAATTTTTGATCTTTCAGTTTGTTTGATTTAAATAAAATTAAAACTGAACCAATAATAAAAAAATAGAATTTTAAAGTTTTAAGAACCAATACCAAAATACATTTTTAAAACCGAACAAAATCAACCAATTTTGCTCGATGCAGTTCAATTTTTTTATTATTAATTTGACTAAATAATTCACACCTTTAGCCAAACCCAATGTGACACGTACCTCAAAAGTCAATAAGAAAACTTGGATAGACTTTATTTATGAGAGTCTGGATTGAACTAGCTAATTTAAAATTCAATAGCTTAGTTAGGCTTCTTATTGCACATGGGTTAGCATAATGAGCTCAAAGTAGCTTTAAGTTCCTCATATGCTCAATCAATCTCATGTTCATTTTATTTGCGATTAAATTTGGTTTGAATCAAGGCAACTCTTGTTCACACAATTGAGTCATTGTTGAGTCAAGATCCAATTGAGCTCAACTAGGTCAAATGGCCATAGTAATTATTCTATTAATTACAGTGCCACCCTAAGGAGGTTTTTAGGTAAGTTAAATAAGTTTTGATGAGGTTTAGTTTATTTGTCTCATCATTAATTTAATTGATTAATAATGGATTTAAATTCAATAAATCTCTATTGGAGCCCAATAAACATGAATTTGACACCACTAGACCTTGGAAGGTGTTTACCCAAATTTGATTAACTATATTTTTGGTTTGAGTGCATTAGATTTTATGTGACTTTAATGGGCCAAGTGTTCAGTTTAACTAGGCTAGGGCTTGTACTTAGGTTAACAATTTAAAGGAGAGCTCCTTATATGTCAAATATCACTTAAAATGAATTGAAGCTCACCACTTCTAGGGGAATTTGGATTTGACCCAAAAATCCTCTTCATAGGTTAAGGTCTCTTGGTCAAAGGAGTTTGACCTTGCTCTTATATGATATTAGTCATGTCAAAATTTTATTTAAGAATCAAATGGGTCATGATTGAATTAAATTGGATAAGATTTTATTATTTGATTTTATAATAAGTCACTTGGTCAAATTAATTTGAATTTGGGATTAAAGACCTTATATTAGCTCACTAATGGTCCTTAATGATTCATAGACGTATTAGGATCATCAAGAATCAAATTTTGAGAAAAAAAAAAGATATTTGATTTTGATGGGTACAAGATTAACATGAGTTGAGTTGGCCAAATAACGTTGATAAGCCTCATTGACTCGAGAAAAATTCAAGAGATGGTTTGAGCTGCTGGAGTGGGTCCTAGAGTATTGGATTCAATTTGGGCTCATTAGATTATGTGAGTCTTATAAGGTAACCTAAAATTTGACCCAGGCCTAAATGAGCTTAATTGGAGTTGAGTCCCTTCATTTCATCCTAAACTTGTTATTTTCCTCCTAACTACATTTAATAATCAAGATTTTAATTTATGTTCATTTAAATCCAAAGGAAATAAAGTCTTCTTTGGGCTAGCCATTCATTAAGGTGTGTAGGAAATCACCTAAGGCTCATTAAGAGGGAATATTAGATCTAATAGTGAATCTTAAGAGTTATGGGGAGGGTTAGGGAGACTTACCAACCTCGTAAAAATGAGATCAACACTCACGAATGCTCAGATTATTTCGCTTATATTTGGCTATAAATGACAATCTCATCAAAATAGAATATCATACAGTCCTCTGTAAATGATCTTAAAGTATCATACAAAGATAAAATGGGATCACCATTTACTCAAACTTTGTGGCTGTGTGATTTTAGAGATAAATTTTTTAGTCGTGTAGCAATCATTAGTTGGTATAATGTCAAGCACTTTAAGGAGTGGGCCATAATTCTTCATCAAGATTTTTACTTAGTACAAAGTATATGCAACACCACCAATTTTAAGTTGTGCTCATCATGGTTTGTGATCCATACAAGAAGATTCTTAGCTTAATTATTTATTGGGTTTAATAATCAAGCACTTCAATCCGTATCTCTTTTCCTACACCCAGAAGTTGTGATACATCTCGATTAGTAAATGCAATACATGAGGGAAGGTTAATGTTAAGATTTATAGCTCTTCAAAAAGGCATCCCGTTTGACAATTACAAACGTCAATTGCAGTTTTCTTCAAGTTGTTGTAACCTCAACCCTCACTCAATTACTCTTGCAAATAGTCATATGCATCCCTATTTGGCTTCTTTGGTTGGACTAAACACATAACGTAATGCCAACATGCATTGATCATCATCCTCACATGTCTAGCCGCGCCATATCAAAATGCTAGTAACATTTACCTCTATCAGTATTGTGTCTTGCATTATCTTGTTGAGATCGTGTTCTTATGTTTTTAGTATACAGTAGTATATTTATCTCGTAAATATTGTCATCTGAAGATGTCCTGACATATATTTAAGGGATCAGTTCATGAATATGTCATTCAAATACTCCCATGATGGCGAAGAGATTACAACTTATAGAGATTACCAGTGACATTACCGAATCACCATCAACATTTTGCTAAATTACATCCAGAGCAATCATAATACTAATGATCCTTCTACTTAAATGCAGCATTCTTCGAAGATCCAACAGCAGCAAAGTCCTGCAAGGCTGAAATGCAAATACTTTCTTACTTCAAATTGTCAGCAAGTAACGATAGTATATTGGAAGGAATATTTACATACATGCCACCCATTTTTTATTATATTTGCATAACAGTTAAATTTCAATTTTATATACATTTGATGTGGCACAAAAGATTATGAGTGATGTAAATATAAAATGTAAAATTTAGCTGCTTGAATTGTGAATATATAGGAATTGGTTGGTAGCATGAAAATGCCCCTTATTTAAGTGCGGAGTCCAATGAAATCACGCCACAGGAGAATATTTCCGGTGACACTGGAGAATATTCTCCCGTGTTATGCAGATGTTGTTGTATGTTATTCATGTGTTATTGTGTTCTGAGAATATTTTAACCAATGAACAATTACATGAGAACAACCCAAAACTTTTTATTTACAAATCCACCGGCCTATTTCATCCATTTTTCGAATTCTCGCTCAAATATCAAAATTTATGGTAAAATCCCTACCCATATTTTTTATTTTTATCAAATCCTCAATAATTTGATTGCGGCATAATATCACATGTGTGATTAATTTGTAAATATAAATATTTTTGGCGGTATATATGTAAATATCTATTTAATCAAATGAATTAAGAAAAAAACAGAAGTGGCAAATCGCTTAATTACCATCCTTCAATGAAGCCTCTCTCGCCTCTCTTCTTCGTCTTTGCATGGCAGCATTTCTTGGTCTGTGGTGCCGAGGAATCCATGGGATAGCCCACTATTAACCCACATTTGTAAATAAAATTAGAATATTTTTAAATAATTTTTAAATGTTTTCTATGTATTTTAGTTTTGCATCAAGACTCCAATCATAATCTGTCACGTGTACAGACAAGCCCATCTTAGTAAGAAAAAAAAATTAAATTAATATATGGGTGGGTCTGCTTGTACACGGGGCAGACCTTGATTGGAATCATGATGCAAAACTGCACCAGGACTCCTGATGCAATAATTTTTCTCTTTAAAGAGAAGAAATATTATATACAGACAGAGAAGGCGTGGATAGGTGCAGATTTAGTACTCTTGTGGTGATATTCATCATATTACCATCACAATATCACTACGCTGCCGCAATCCATGCATACATATATACATAAAAAAAAAATTAATTGTTGAATTCTCTAGAAATTATAAATAGATTATTTAAAAATTTAATATGCTAACAAAGTTCAGTTTTCTTATTAATTAATAATTCATAAGCAAATAAAGAAGAAATTAAGAGATGAATTGATTCATGTTGTAAAACCTACCAGAAATTCATAAGAAAATATTAGGTGCGTCCCTTTAACGATGCAATTTCGAGCCGAGTTAAGGTCGGCTTGAAAGAAAATTGATCTAATATTTCGGCTCGCAGCTCGACTCATTTTATTTTGATACGAGCGATTAATGTTTTTCAATCTAAATTCGCTAAATTCTCAACCCTAATATCAATAGGGCTGCTAACAATCCAATTCCAAAGCCAAGCTAGGGTCGGCTCGAAATAGATTTGAAAAAAAATTTGATCCGAAGTTTTGGCTCAGAGTTCGGCTCTTTTATTTCGATCCATCTCGATCCAAGCCAAAATTTGAATCAATTTTCAAGCGATTGTCTGCACGTACGGACAACCGCAGCTAATATTTTCTCGAGATTAAGAGAGATACAGAGAGAACCAGGGGGATATTGTTGAGCTTTTGTTCCTTTTGCAGCAGGCTTCTTGTCCATATTGTTTCAGCAGAGCTAATTACTTAGCAAGAAGCTCTTCTCCAAGCTGAAGGCTTGATTCTCTCGCCCACCGTCTCAGACTGAATTATATAGCCTCATATTAAGGAAAAATTATTATGTCCGGACTCCGTACATAGAGATACGTTTAGAGTCGAATAAATCTCCTCCACGTGAAGTTGATAGAAAAAAAAATAAAAAACTCATTTTCTTGTGATCCGGCCTGGTAACTATGGGGAAAATTTCTCCATCTTTATTCATGTGTTATTGTGGTGATATTGACGTGTTATTGTGTTATTATAACAACGAGAATATTCTTAGAACACAATAATACATGAATATCACTACAATAACATCTGAATGATGAAGAATAACACGGGGGGAAATATTCCCTTGTGCTAAAACGATTTTTTTTTAATTTTTGTCACCTCCACATGACGTGATTTTAGTGGACTCTGGACCTATCTCTACGTCCGGACTCCTGACGTAATATTTTAAGTGATAATATATTATTTTATTTTGCTATTTATTTATTTATTTTGTAACAGAGCAAGACAAATATGACCTATTTAAATTATTTAATCATTTTTTTTGGATTTTTAATAATTATTTTTAAGTATGAGAATTATGAGACTATTCTTTTGCATCATCTTTTCAGCTGGAGTGATGGAGCATCAGATTCTTCCTGATAAATGAAGAATAAGGCATGAATTCTCACCAACTATTTTTTTCTTAGAAAATTATATTTAAATTATTACATAAATACCCCATAATTCTTATATTATTACATGTATAACATCTAAACTTTAGTTTTTATATTTATATCATCTATTATGTTTTGAAAAGGAATTGAATGTCATAAATGTAAAAATCAAAATTTATGACATAAGAATTGTGTGGTATGTTTGTAATTAATAAGTTGTTACATTTTTTTTTTTTTTGCAAAGAGTGATGTGGCCACAGAATATATGCTTCAAAATCTCAAATTGGGCCCAAACTCGGTATAATGCTAAATAAAATCAAATATAATGACCCGGAGGATGAGTTCAAGCTGATAAGGATCGAAATAACTCAATTTGAGTCATCTTGTTTTGATTTCGAGCTCGTACTGATCCAAATAAGAAAATTTTGGGCCAGCTCGTTTTGATTTCGAGCAGGATTGAGCATAATTCAATTTCGAGTCGGGTTGGCTTGAAATTGAAAATAACTAGCCACAAGTCAATCTCAATCCGAACTCAATCCATTCGAGCATATTTTGAGCCAGCCTGAGCTTAGCTCAAAATCGGCTCGTTAACAACTCCCTACTCGTAGTCCCCTTTTCTCGTTAGGGTTTCACTTGATTTACGATTTTTAGCATATTTGGTGCATGTGTAGGGCAGGAATGTGCACAAATTATTTTCTTATGATGCATTTATTTTTGATAAATTATTTACTATTTTGGACTGCCAGATCATTTGATAATTTATTAAAGTTATTGGCTGACGAGTTTCTCAAACGAGCATTGTCTACGAACACAAATGGGGTGAAAAAATTAATGAAAACCTTTGACTTGGGCAATGTGAAAATAGACACATGTTTGAATGAGTATAAATTTTTTTTGTGGATTTAGCTTGATGTTGATAAATCAAAAGATTTAGGGTCTGTTTGGGGCAGCTGCAGCTTATCCAGCTTCTGCTGATAAGCAGCTTATCCTAATAATCTGCTGATGAGCAGCTGATCCTGATAAGCTGTCTGGCTGTTTGGTTGGTGCTTATGGAAAACAACTGATCCTGGAAAATTGATCATTCTGCCCCTGTTCTGAATAAGCAGTTTAGCTGTTTGGTTAGTGTGTTTTGTAAACAGTTTATTTGAATTTTTTTTAATTAAATGAATAATTTGTGCAGCAGAATCTGTTTTTTTCTCAACAAAATTAAAGATCACTGTAAAAGCAATCCAACGCTCCAGTTGCACCCGCCTTCCAAGCTGCAGTTGCAAGTATTGGATTATCAACTTCAATTTTCCTAGATAAAGATATTGAAACATGGTTAAATACTTGTGTATTTTGTCACAAGAAAATTATCATGCAATTACTAATCACAATATAATTAATAATTTTATGGGCAAAAGTTATGTAATATAATCTGGAATTCTGATGCATACATAGGAGTGTAATGTCTCCAATGAAATGCTCACAAAATTCAAATCATTCCTCAGCTATTCAAAAACTGTATTGAACATTTCTAATTCAGCTTCACCTTCATCAAGTTCCGTCATTCCTTCCTCGAAGCCTCAAGAATCCAAGATAATTATAAAGTGAATAAAATGCTCATCCTCATTACTATCAAGTTCTAGAAATAGAAAATGACTTAGGATAAAAGCAACAATTAGGATAAAAGCAACCCATTGATCAAATAGTAAAACTAGAACAATAGCGCAAGAAAGTCTCTGGAAGCAATATTTTTGATAAACTCTTTTTTTTTAACTCATGGAATTTCAAGAAAGTCTCTGGAAGCAACAAAGTAAATTTCAGATGAGCCTTTTAAACCACTGCACAACCTCCGGCGGACAGCCGCCGAGCTTCCCTCTAAAGGGGACCAGAAACCACGAATCTAATTACCACCACCCAAAATCTCTTCAATCGCATGGAACTCATACTAAGAAGCTCCAAAACCCAAATTCAACTATAAACAGAACTTCACCAACCATGACCATTAATGGAGAAGCTGCTTCTTTACCAGAGGAACTAACTAAAGCCAGTTTTATGTGCAAGCAGCAAGGCATTGAAGAGCTTTCTCAGCTTCTCTCTAAAAATGATTACAGCAAACATTCCATGAAGTTTGAGCCCTTCTTCATGGGACCTCTGGTTCATTTTGACAATGAAGCTTCAGGTGAGAAGAAGGTTGTGCTTGCTGTGTTTGTTTCTTCTGCTTTAGGAGTTTTCCGCTTTACAGAGGAAGCAAGGAAGCTTCTCCGCTTTATTCTTGGCATATGGCAGCTTCAGCGGAGCGGAGGAAGACCAGAGAGTCGGCGGAGGAAGCGCGGGTCTTCGGCGAAGCGGAGGAAGACCGGAGAGTCGACGGCGACGGAGAGGTACTTCGGCCCAAGGAAGAGCGAAGCTGGAGGCAGAGGCGAGCGGATAAGGGTGTGCGCGTAAAACATTCCCCAATCATGCGTTTGTATATTGCACTTCTTTCATTTAGTTTAAAAAGTTATTTGTATGTTGATGATTAGGGTGCTCTCGTGAAACATAGAGGAGACACTACATGCAATGACATTCATAGTTTGCCTCTTGGCACAACAATTCACATCAAGGCTAATGAAAATGGCGTGTTGTGTAATATTATGGAGTCAACATTATTTTGGTTCTGTATGGGTATTGTTGATTTTTGGCATCAAATTTTGATGTCTCATAGGCATGAAATCTGTTTGAGGATACGTGACTATGCTTAGCTTCCGAGTGTCCAAGAAATCCAATCAGACCTCCTGGTACATGCCCCAAGCACGAAACCGGGACTAGTAATGACTTGGCCCCATTCGGGATAATTCTCCGGGAGTTGGTGTTAGTCCCAACTTTGGACGAGTTCTACGTCTGCTCTGATGACAAGTGACCAAAATCCATCAATCCGGAACTTTTTTGAGGCTAAGGTTAGTCGCCAACATCTCCCACACACATTTTGGAAAAATTTTGGTTCAGACTGATTTTACCCCTGCGGGGGTTCGAGACACCTGTGTTGACCTCACTTTTGGTGAGGTCTAGTATTCCTCTTAGTACTTAGAATCTAGCCATAGAACTTTTCCTTGATTATCCTAAAGGATTAGTGATGGGACCCACCACTTTCAGGACTTCAAACTACCTCCTAGCTCTTTTTGAAATCTCACATGGATGTTTATAAACCTCCAACACTTGGAAGGTTAGGACAAACATGTCAATACTCAAGGATGAGTTCCCATAGAACCATGAGGCCTCATGGACACCCTGTTGACACTTGGTGGCTTAGGGCATTCCGCTTCACACACAAACACCTCACATACTCCCTCCTTAGAGATTCACAGTACCGCATGACCCTTTTGGAATCTCCCATGGATGGTCATAAACCTCCAGCACTTGAAAAGTTAGAAGTAACATGTGGAGGCTTCAAAATAAGCTCTTGTAGGACTATGAGGCTTTGGGGAGACTCTTTATGCTTTGGACATTTACCTTGCACTGCAATACCTCCTCGCCACTACAAACCATACAAGATTCCTCCATCTTCAATCCATAATCAAGCCAAGACCCCAAATTCAAATTCATACCAATTTACACAAATCTTGCACAAATACCAAATCAAACTCAGCATCCCACCAAATTTTAAGGATTTGTAACCAATTTAACTGAGCCACATCAAATTCCAAGCTTCAATCCAAAATTGCCAAACACACTTCATTTTTTCCCTCATGACAATTTTTAAAAGTTAACCAAATCTATAAACTGCATCGTGTCATGTGTTCATGGGTTCAATTAAAGTGGAAGAGGGTTCAGGATATGTTTGGGCTTCACATGGGCTAAAATCATCTAATAAATCTACATTAATCCCCAAATAACCCCACATCAATGCCTCAAATAACTCCACTTTTATGCCCTAATAAACCTACTTTCACGCCCTAATAACACCACTTCAACCCTTTAATACACCACTTTAACTCCCTAATAACACCATCTTCATGTCCAAATAACACTACATAACAGACCTTGCAAATCCCAACAATAACACCACAAAATTTCCTTATACACCAAAAAATCGCCAATAACACCACGTGACGATTTAATCGACGTTGATAACACAATATTACAGCCGATTTAATACTGCAGATAACACTGACTTCCGCGGGACTCCAATGACACAGAGATACAACTATGAATAACTCCACGAATAATACTGGAGTCACAAAATCGCAGTAACACCAAAATTCACCCAAAATACCACCATGAATAACACCTCTTCTTTCAGAACCACTGTAATACCACATTAAAATGCCGAATAACACCTGTAATAACACCACTGCCCCCAAACACTAAATAACACCTAAATACACCCAGAATACAACCCCCAATAACACCAAATCTGT